CAGTATGTAAAAAGTAAAGGGCATATATGACTGTTCACACATAAGAGACTGACATCTAGCTGGTGAAAGTTGCTGCATTTTGGGAGCATGGAACCCAAAGCTTAAGAGTTGAAATATATGGAATAACCATCTGACACATGGTCACAAAGGGTGTTCGTAGTAGACCTGCTGGCATTTGATGGTGTTTTTCACAGGTGATGTCTTCATGTGGTCTGGATGGCTTTGTTTCCAGAGGCAGCAAGTATCACTTTCCCTTTTCATGGGTCGTACCTAAGTGCCAGCCGTGGCAAATGGGCCTGCTGTTGACCAGCCAGATTATTCATGAAGGTCTCCCCTTCCTTAGGTCTGTCAGGCAGGTAAGATACTACAGTTTTGCAGAAAACTGCAGAGTCTAGCTGTTTGGTTGCATCCACAAAGAAAGGAATGGGTGCCATGGAAACAAGTTGGTTACTCTATGGCCACCCAACCTCCCTTGTTCTAGAAGCAAGAAAAATCCTACTGTGCATGATTACTCATTGCTTCCCACTCCCAGGAAAAGTGGCAGGAAAAGCATAGGCATTGACATCTCCTGGGAAGGAGGAGCAGCAAACCAAGAAGAGATGATTTTAGTTCATACAGCTACTGACAGATTTTTCTGTTTTCACTGTTTGGTTTATCCAATATAATTTTAATAAAGAATATGGAATTTGAGTTTGTAATCCAGAAATCCACACCATGTAGTTTTTAATTGCAAGCTGTTGGTCAGTGCAATTAAAAATATGCTACACACAGATGATAAATTTCCTGGAGGGCACGCATCTTTTGGAATTATTCAAGCATTTTAATACTGTCACACTTGGATATTGTATTATGTTTACATTTTCTACATGTCATGGTACAGAGATCAAAGACACAGCTCCTCTGCAGGCAGACTTGACAGGCATTATCCACGAGGTTTTGCGTAGCTGGGAACATGTCTAAACAAAAGCTCAGCCCTTTGTCTAGAGAGCCTTTCTTCAGTGGCCACGGAAAGCTGTTACAGAGCTTTAGAAAGGGCTCCAGGTGAACTTCTGAGAAACCTGCAAGTCTCTGAGATTGCCAGAAATCATTCTTTCAGTTTGTTTTGAAAGTGTGCTTCTCTGAAAAGACAGTGTAAGAGGGGCACAGTGCTACAAGCTGTTTGGTTTCTCTGCATCTGGGTGAACCTTAAATGGACTCCAGCCTGCTTGACTGCAACGTAGGGTTTTGCTGCTGCTCCTGTTGTTTTGTGAGAGCCTAAAATCTTGCCTCCTGTTAATTCTGCAGGGTTATGCTGCTAACGACGAGTATGATGAAGTGTGTTTTTTGTTTTGCATATGAGCAGAGTTGCTTAATCAGTTCCAATTAGAAGGAACTGATAATAAATATTCCTTAAGCCTATGCAAGAATAAGCTTTAATAAGTAGTACTTGATCTTTATGTCAGAAAAGCTGCATTTCATTAGTCTTGCTTTCTTGGCTACAAGTCAGAATCAAATTGGTGGAACTGACACTTATGACCTCTCCACTCCAACAAATGTGTTCTCCTTGCTTCCTTCCAAAGAAGTGCTGTTACACTTTTATTTTAAAGGAAGGCACAATTTGCATTTATGCAGTGTTGTGGATTAGACAATGTTCAATCTTCTCTTGTAAGTAGGTAAGCAACTAAAGATTACACAGATGATCCCCCTGTGACAAGAACCATTCAAAATAGTAAGGATGGCTTCATGTAGCTGGGAGAACATCTGGTTTACAGTGGCAGGTCATACTGACCTTTGCTATGGATGCTGTCAGCTGTCTCTATGCCCCAAGTGAAAGTTTTGTAATAGACACACATTATAATTAATGCCTAAATTTCTCATTTTGGGTGTTAAAAATTAGGTCTGTAATGAAATCAGAAAGGTTTCCAAGATGTTTGAGGTTTCACTACACCATAAGCAGGTAAAGCACTCGATAGCAAAATTAGTGTGTGTGACTGAATCGTAAGGAAGACATAAGAATGGGTACAATAAACATTCGAGGTAGCCCGGCTTAAGTGTAAGAATGCTGCAGGAAAGAGGTATTTCCTATATTTCTTTGAAATACAGTCTGGTGCTTGTAAGCAGCAAGCCATTTGATGCCCCTATGTTTGCACACCTGTAGAAAAGCTGCTTCAAAGACTTCTCACTGTAGTAAGGGTTTTACTGGGTTGACAGGATCATGTACTTGACAAAGGAGACTTCCAGGGCTTTTTCCAGCTTGCAGAGAAAAAATACATGTGACAAATATATGCCTTCTGTTATGAATATTTCAGAAGTTCTCTTGAAGCAGTTAGAAACTATTTCACTCCTTTTGTGGCACAGAATATTTAAGAAATGCTGTAAGAAAAAAGGAAGTAAACTAGAAAATTTTTCATGGTCTTCAGAATAAAAATGTGGGAGTGAGGAAGGGGGAAAAGCGACAGTGGTATGCAGCTGATGTGAAGTGAGGAAAAGTACTTATGCCTCTCTCCCACCTCCCTGATTTTGCAGCACTGGATCCACTAGGCAAAATAATTTAGAAAAAATGTTTTGCCATGGAGTATCATGTCTCTTTGGAGCCAGAAGATGATGACTGACTTCTCGTAGCCCAGATATGGGCTGCCTGCAACAGACTGGGGGGATATGTGTGAGGAAACAGACCCTTAAATTCCACTTTCTTGTATTTTAAGATAATTAATGTACAAAAAAATGGTTCCTTCTAGTGCCATATCCAAAAGCAGTCTGGAATCACATGAGAAGCACCAGGAGATACAATCTGGTGTTAGTGAGATGCCAAACTGATGCTTGACAGTATACATCCTATTTCCTGATCCACAGGAATGCTTGCACTCCCCTTCACAGCAAATATGCTTCTGTATTTTAGCAATCTGGGCATCACTTGCAGTGCAACTAGCTGGAATTGTTTCAAATTAATAATCTCTTATAAATATGAAGATGCAATTAGTACTGAATATATAAAATGCTTAAAAGGTTGTTTATCATGCCTATTGCTTAAAATTAATCCTTAGATTACAGGCGAGTTCTTCCCACTGTCCATTTTAAAACACATTAGGCTTTGGTATTATTAGCACTGTGCTCTAACCAACTGAGTACTATGTACATATGTGCAAGGAAACAGTTCTTAAAAACTCATTTTGGATTTTTTAGGTCTGTAAGATTTGATCCAAAATTTCTAGCTCTCTTGCTTTTATTCCTTACAGCACCTTTTAATTTGAAAGCTTTACTTTAAGGCAAGTTCAGTCAGTTAATGTCCTTGTATTGAAATAATCAGTCCATTGACAGTTTAAAATGTTAAGGCAAAAGCCTGTTGAGACTGTATGGTCATCCTGGAATACTGTGGAGCAATCCTCTACTTAACATACTTTTATTTTTAAAGCAGCTGAAAGACATGTGCATACTACCTCAAAGGCATTTATTCTACTGCTCCCACATAAAAAGTAGCAGGAAGGAATCTTATTTAAAAAACATTACAAAGATATAACTATTGAATCCAGATTGCCAGAGAAATCATTTAAGAAGGAAAACCACTGTCTCTGAACAATAAGATAATGCCATTGGGGATGGATGATTATCCATGAGATAATTTTATTCCAGAGTACCGTAAATCTCAGCCGCTTTCCCTTCCACACCCAGCACCTTGGGGCATGAGAGCTTATTATAATTTATTCTCTACTGTACCTTCAAGCAAAAAAACTAGTACTAGAGTATAAGCTATCATTTAAAAATGCATCTGTTTTTTTTCTTCCTCAGTTCTCGCTGCTGGTAGGTTGCATATTTTCTAAGACAAAACTGAGACGGTCTTGAAAAACAAGCAGAACATAACACACATGATAAAGTCGTAGTACTCATCAGGTTCTTTCTTCTGGGGATGACATACTAAAGTAGCCTTCTTGATTATGCAATTCACCCCTAGTTCTCCTTATTTAAGACTTTATTTCACATCAGGTGGGGGTCAGACTACTTCTTTTAAAGGTAAGGGTGTTATTGACGGTTTAAGATGATGATTAGGTCTCTATCACAAATAATAATTCAAAACACTAAAACCCTCTCGAATCCTCACAGAAGTCTGGCATCAGAAATATTTTAAAACAGATAGTTAACTGAGATTTTTTTTTCTAGGAAGAAAAAGCATATACCGTGTTGTAATTTTTTTATGATGATCTCAAAACTAATTGAGAAAAAAGGGGCAAGATTTTGCTGCCACAGCCTAACCTCCTGGTTATAGCTTGCAAGCTTTCCTGTTTTTCAGAACACTTTGCTGTCAGAATACAGAAATGCAGTCTCCTCTTTCAGGACTGGAGCTGTATCACTGGCTGCAGACAATCCTCTTTGTTCTTTAACCCCCAACTGAACCACAGATGTGAATCTGAGCAGCTGAAGCAGCACCCTCAACCTTCAAAGGGGTCAGCTTTTGTGAGAAGGGCAAAGTGAAAGCAGTTTTTCAAACTCCAAATGCTGGAGAGAAAAAAAAAAGGCGATGGATTAGGTAGTCTCTGTTTATTTGCAAAATCTGATGGTAGTGCCTCTTCCCTTTAGCACAAATGATTTTACCAGCTGACAAAGAGCTGGAAAAAGCTAGGCCCAGGGCAATAGGAAGACAATTCTGATATCCATAGCTTCAGCCATGACCTCTATAGCAATACATGAACTCAATCTCCTAGTTGATTTCCCTGTAGGCAAGTTGGACCTGAGTGATAAGTCGCTCCTTCTTTCCACAAGTACTTGAAGGGTATTCCCACTGGCTAATGAGCTACGGGACAACAGCTTAATTACTTTAACCATATCTGCTTTGGCAGCAAGCAGAAAGTTATCCTCTATAAACTTTAAAACCAGTTCTTTAAAACAAACAAAAAAACCCCCAACAAAACAAACAAACAAACTACCCAAACCCACCCTCTAAAAAAAAAAAACCCAAACCAATTCAAAAAACTAAGAGCATGGAAATACTGAGCAAAACTCATCTTCATGAAAATCTACCAGTCAAGTTTATGTGCAAAGTATCCTTTATTAGAAAATTCTTGTAGGCAGTGCTTAATAGATGGTAGGTAGGGGAGACAGACAATAACCTGCTGTGCTGTTTTCTCTTTCTTATTTTCTTTCTTTCTTTCGGGGTTTTTTGTTTTGTGAGTGGGGGGGGTTGTTTTTCTTTTTGTAGGATTTAGCAGGCTATAGCAGAAGATTCTTAGTGCCATGGAAGCACAGACTACTGAGGATAAAATATTTTATCAGTAGAGGCAACACAGCTGTCAATTCTTGCAGAATTAAGTTATTCTATGCTATTCTTTGGCTCTTGCTGTGCTTACAGAATTATTTTTCCGTGACTTAAATCTCTCTCATCCTGAAATACCAACACTGATTGAAACCTGAGATCACAATAAAAACAGCTATTTTTTTTCCCACGGAACAGTAATAAGGCTTTGATGTAACTTGACTGGAAAAAAAATCAGAATGCTTTTAGTGAAAGATTGAAAAAATAGAAGTTCTAGGTTCCTTTATCAACAGGTTTTCTTATTTACTTTGAAGGTTGTTTATGCAGTTCTGTGAGAGCTGGGTCTCTACAGAGGTCAGTAAATCCATGCTTATCCAGAGCCTCGGTGACAAAGAGTGAATAATCGATGTTCAGGGCCAGAGGAGGATCTATCAAATTAGAGGATGCTTTTTGTGAAGACCTGTATGAACCTTCAGTCCAAGGCTATGCTATTACAAGGGAAAGGGAATCCATAAAGGGTTTTATTGACTTGTCCCTCTTCCACCCGCACAACAAAGGAAATGTGTGTGTATGTGGGTACATAAATGTGTGGGCACTGAAAATAATAAGCAGCTGAGTTATGACAGTGGCCTGTTTCACCAAAGCTTATAGTTAAACACTCAGTGAGATCCGAGAGAGCGTTTTAAGAGATTTACCATCTCAAAAAGATGACAGTAAGGTAGCTGAATCAATTGCCTGGTTTGAGATCTACAAGTTGATCTTAAAAACGTACCAATATGTTTATTTCCCTACCAGGCCAGCTGAAGTGGTCTGAAACTTTCAAGATTTGCCTGGTTTAGTATTTGTGTAGTTATCTTTATTGCACAATAATATAGTTTGACAAATGAAAGTTCCAAAACCGAGTATAACTGATGCTACAATACTGGTGCACTCTGCTGCATACACCGATGCTAAAGTTATGGAATAAATCCACTTTAAACGCTTCAAGGAGTCAAGTCCTACCACCAGAGGTACAAATATTTAATAATATACCAGCATTTGGAAAGGTTACACTGCCATCTGCTTATGTAAAATGAGCTGTATATGACAGAAAAAGTTCCCAGTATGCTATAATAACTAAATTATTTGCTTCTAGTGTTTTGGAAACTAGCAGCATCCTTCCACTAAGAAATGTGGTTCATAGCCCACAAAGTATTTGTCCTGTCCTGTCCTCTCTCTAACATTGTTTACGTTGGGGGAGGGAAGGAAGGAAAAGCTTAACTTTCTCCAACTCTTTATACATTCCTGCATGACAACAAAAGCTACAACCATATGTTAAAATTATGTATTTGGCCATTTATATTGTTTTTTAGAATACATAAGGCAATCAATTTAAAACCATTTTCTCCAAGAAATTTAATCTGAATAATGAACCCTATGTGACCACAGAATTAAGTGCAAATTGATGCATGCAGGAGGTCCTTCAGAGAAGTGTTGAGAGTCCCATGAACTGTGGTTCATTTATTTCTGTTGTCTTGGTTGGGAGGCCATGTACAGTGCTACCAGACAGTAGATAGTCCCGCCTATTGTTAGAGCCATAGTGGTCCGATAAAGCAGCCTGTCTGGCACTCCTCGTTTCAGGTGTACTGGCAATCCGTCTGCTTTCTGTGGGAACAGTTCAAAAAGAAAACAAACAAAAAAGAAATTAACACCCGTTCCAAGGTCATTAAGGAACAACTTACCCTGCATAAATTAAGAGGCTTCCAAGAGGGAAACCCCCTGACAAATAGGTTACAATCAAGTGTATTCAGTGGTTTTTATCCAGCAAGCCAAATGTGCGAAGGCACGTTACTTTTGTTAGCCAAAGCTGTTAAGTGCAAGCAGAAAGAATATATATTGAAATATTTCTCAAGAGGCCCTGGATGGAGAAAGTGTCACTAACAAAAGAACATGAGAGGATGGGTATAAAAAAATATTCACCGAGTCAGACTGACACACTCCACATTCAAGTGGCATGTAAGAGAGAAAAGGGAACATTATATGAAGCACATGCTTAAAAGAAAAATGCTTAACTAATTTGTTTTATGAAAAATCCTAGCATGCCTAAAAATTGCATAGCTAACAAACTGGCCTTGAAAACTTTACTGTGCTCTTCTTATACTGCATTATAAACAGCTTCAGTAATATTCAAATAACTATACACAGAATAGTAATGTTCTGCTTTGCTCCTCCAGATCAGCTTTAAGGCATACGCTTGGATTCCCAGAGAGAAAGGGCTTTTAATAGTCAAATTTTATTTTTGTTTAATACAACAAACATCTTCTGAAGCCAGCAAAAAGACAATGTTACTAGGCTTTCCACTTCCTGTATTTGTCTCCTAGACAAGGCATATATATACTTTGCAGTATAGTACAAGTGTACAGGTTATACTGCACTTGGCATTTCTTGATTAGACTTTACAGAATTAGGCATTACAGAATGACAAAAGTAGTTAGCTATATTAAAATAAGGACGGATATGTCCCACTCTCCAGTTTTCTGTAAGTTACTCTCAAAAGTTGTCATTACCTGAAAAATTTTCTGTAGGTCTGGTACCTTGTTTTTACCCAAGTAAGAATCAGTTGCTGGAAAATCTGGAGCAAGTTTACTTGTTGTCCCAAAAATCGGAGCTGGGGATTCAGTGGAAACTATTGGTTTGAGTCCCTGCATAAATAAAGATTAAAATATCAAGGTATATAACACTTGCAAATGTACCAATTGTCACGTTAGGCAGGTACGCTGCCAATCATTACAAGGATACATTACAGAGACTATTTAGCTGGTATGAAGACCTGTGACAATGAGCTCCAGACACACTGCTGGCCCACTGATTTCTCAGCAACATCTTTGGGTCAGAGCTTAGCGAGGAAAATAGGAGCCTCCTTTGCAATTTCCTCATGGCATTAACTTATAGCTATTGTTTTTCAGTGCTGGTACTTGGCCCAAATTACTGCTTGTATTTTGCACACAGTCAGACTATCCAGGACTCTCTCTGAGCAGTAGGATTACAAACAAGGATCCTTGATGCTAGGATCGGAGTGAGGAATAAACTCTACCTCCCGAATTCTGCAAGCAGTAGCCATAAATAATTTGGCCTTGAATAATTTGGAAGCATATTTTGAGTCAAAAAAAAAAGGTTAGGATCACTTGTGTCATACAGAAGTCATAAGTGATACTCAAGGACACTCCAGAGGCCCTGACATGGTGGATATTTTATGCAGATGCAACTACACTGTGTAATTCACGTTGCTGCAACTTGCCATACCTCAGTGAACTCCACATGAGCAGCACAGCTCAATTTCCCTTTGGTTCAGATCGTTGTACTCTACGTTTGCCATAATTAAAAACTACATAATTCAGTTCTGTGTCTAAGAGCACAAAGTCACAGCCATCATGACGTGTCTTCCTTGCCTTTACTATTCTAGTTAGATTTAAAAGTTATGTCTGGACACATGGCAGTGACTTTTATATTATGGCTCCCAAAACAGCTATAATTTTTTTTCTAAGTTGACTCAGAATTAAGAACATTGTACACTTAAATTAATGCAACAGGTTTTCACTACAAACAGAAGCAGTGCTCTCCATGGGTCAAGTTCAGACTGCACTGAAACTCTAGTTTCAGTTGAAAGGACTAGTTGATGCATTTTGTATTTAAGAGAACTGCCTGAACAGTGTTTGAAGCTGGAAGCAGACTGGCACTCTTTCTCTTATGCCTGCCATAGACCAGACACGTTTTCCATATGTAAACTCTCTGCTACAACAGGCATCTTCAGCAAAAAGACCAGATTTCTCAGCTTCCCAAAATAATCTATGGAATGGTCATCAATTCTCTATCCTGAAGATGTGGGTTCAGCTTCCCACTGTTCTAGTGCCTAAATGAATATTAGAATCCATTTGTGACCTTCCTGGTTACATTTTGAAAGACAGCAGCCAAAACTGCATTCTCTGGCATATTCAGTAATTACTGCCTTTCTACTGAACAGGCTTGTGCCTGAAGGTAAGGACTGAATTATTTAAGAACCGTGACCAGTTCTGGTCATACTGGTGAGAAGGAAGCATCTAAGGAACTATTTTTAGCCAGGGGAAGTTAATGACTATATATCCAAGGCTCAGTACCAGCTACGGCAAAAGACTTGAAGAAAGCAATTTTGGACCACTTTTCTATCTATAGGAACTTTAGGTATTTTGTTAGATTTGTCTTTAAAAGGTTGGTGATTTGATAGAACTACAGACCAGATGTTTATACTAAATGTGCAGCTGACTTTTTCTCCAAAACTTTTCTTGCCTTCTTGATTGTTAGTATCGCAACAAATGTGAAAATGTGCATCTTTCCTCTGCCTTAAAATTTCCAATTCTGAATCTCACTTTCACCTTCCTGAGAGCCCACTTCTACCAGCAGCAGTGCCATCTAGTAACTCCCACAGTTACTTAATCACTGCAATTCCTGCTTGTTGTGATCATGTCTCCTGTATTTCATGAACTATCTGTAGCATGTGGCAAATGTAAATACTGAGAATTGGAGTAAGCTGCAAACTACTTCCAATAGTTTCACGATAAAGATATTTCTTTGATCATTCCGAAACTCACAGATAAGAGGCAACCCCTACCATTTGTTACTAGCACTAAAATTCCTGCACCTACAGAAGACTGCCTGCATGCAAGACACACTATGGATTACTATTGGAATAGTGAAATCAGTCATGTTAACAACTGTTGGTTATTGCACACTTCTTCTGGCTTTAGAAATACATTCCTGGTCAGATAGTTATAAGATCCCCCTTCTGCTGAAGCCATAGCAGATTCAGACCCAACTCATAATGACCAACTTCATCATGAAATCAAATGAAACCATTTCAGAAAACTCATATAATTATCAGTGTACTGTTGTAAATTACTTCCAGAGCAGCATGGCACCAGTTAAGAACATCATATGGCACTTTAAATAAAAACCACTGATGTGGTTTGCTGGCTCAAGGAAAGAGTACAACAAAACACTGCTGCTGAAGGGAGACCATTCACATCGCCTAATGCTGCATTAATCAGGGTCCCTCATACCTATGTAAAATTCCACTTGAATTCCATCCATGAATTGTGAATCTTGTGGTCAGCTCCACCCAGGCTCAGAAACTCAGCTAAATCAGTGTAACTGCCTGGCTGTTCCTACTTGGTATTTGTCTGTGGTTATTGGCAAGTGCTTTATCTCAGACCCAGCTGCTTGCTAAGCTTAGCGTGACTGAAGAGAAATCCTCAGTATAATGTCATGGCTGAATTTCACTGCAGATCATTTTTAAGTAAGAACTTAGACACCTTAAATGACCCTTGTCACTTGTATTTAACATTACTAAAACTATGTTTAAGAGATTTAATAACATTAGTATCTGACTACACTCCGGATAGTACTGAGGAATTAATGCCTCTAAACATTTGACCTAAGCTTCATTAAAAAAATGTTACACATTGATAATTCCTCTTCTGAGATTATCTTTTATTTCTAATCACTATAACATGGTTTTTACCCCATTCTTGGACAACGTACAGCAGAGGTAGTATGCAGAACAGTCAACATCAGCTGATTTCATCAGCACACTACAGCAAAGACTTTGTCAGATGCTGAAGTCCTCAAAGAAAGGTCAAGACATGTAGCTAATCCAAAATAGCAAACAGAATTCTCTGCCTAACCTGCTGTAGCGTTTGTTCCCCTCTCAGAGGTCTGAACGTCTAAGGACACAATATATCTGTCAGTTGGCCATCATGCTCAAAGTTACAACAAATTTATCCCTTTCTAGTATGAATCCGTAAGTTAAATGGACATGTTCCCGACAGCACAGAACAGTTAAGGATTTGGAGCATAATTTAATGGAGACAGCACCACACTCAAATTTTTAAATGTTAGGGGCATTGCTCAAACAGATCAGAGAATGAGAAAGTAGAGAAAACTGAGGTAAGGACCAAAAGGAAAAGGGGAAAGAAAGTTAAGCTGAGAATTAGTATTTCAGAACATGCATTGAAATACCTTTTATGAACTTGCTGAACATAGACACTTCTAACCTAAACAGCAGGTTCTCCATAGTAGAACACACCCCATTGTATGAGGTTAAATATATTTGTTATCTCTAACACAAAGATGCTCTTAGGCAGGATCACTTGAGGTTTTGTTTGTATTGGGGTGACACACTTAAGGTAAAGTGATTTTGTGCACTTACTAAGTAACACCTATGGCATAAAAGGTTGACCATTATAGTTTCTCAACAAACTCCAAGCAATTCGTAGGGGATAAAAATCAAAAGACCTGTGGTTCATGGGGAGTTTAAATAGATATAAGCAAAATAAGTTGTATCAAGTGAAGATCCAGTAATGTAACTAAATTTCTACTTGGATGGTGTTCAGCCTTGAAGACCTAGGGAAAAGTTCTACAGAAAAGTTCATATCCTTGTCCTCACCTGACATTTGAAACTGGTCCCACTGTTTGTACTTTAAACATAACCCACTGCTTTGAATTAATACTTTTTATTGCATTTGTAATGGTTATGGCAGTCATTGTCCTACCAAATATGAGAAGTAGTTTTTTTCAACCTATTTGACTCCTCAGCTGCACCAGCCGAGGAAGTTCCCATTTACTCAAACAAGCTGAACTGTTCAGACTACTTTATGCAACTTTGTTAAACATAAAACTTAAGTCTTCTAAGAATGCTAGGACTGAGATGGAAAGAACAACACACATTTAAAACTCCGGGAATTTTTTGTTAGAATAAGCTGCTAGTTAAGTTATTGTCAGCAAAAGAATTTCTGAAAAACATTCTGACAGATACTTTGCAGGCCCATAATAAGCCTAAACCTGAACTGGGAAGCATCACAATGTAACAGCACAAAATAGAGTGAATTATGACACTGATTATTTGCCTAAGCAGAATTTGAGTCACAGGATGCCTTCACTTTTTCAGAAACATCAAAATAAACAGAAGCATAAAAAGCAAACCACTTTACATTCTGAGTTATATTTTATGAAATAGAGCAATGAAATTAAAAAACAAAATTCATTTCACTTTGGACTTAACACCTACTTATTCATGGGATTCTTTTCATATTTTAATTGCTATTTATTGAAAACATTTTTATCAGACTGATGCATCTGAATGTGTGACGTGGGAATTGAGTCAAACTAAGAAAAAATAAAAAAGGAAATTCTACCAAAAATCTGGCCTAGCCTAATAACACTGCAAAAAGGGACTGAAAGTAACTCTTTAAAATGTAGCTATTCTACTGCACAGCACATTTGTGTGACACAGCTGAGGACTAAGCTGTGTTAATGATAAGCTGATATGAAAGATAGTACAGGAAAGGTGGTTTTTTATTTTGCTTTAAACAAACTTTTATAGATTTGTGTCCTCTCTGATAAAGGTTTTAATGCTTTCAGTAATTTTTTTCTTCTGCATTAACAGACAAGAGAGGGGACTGGCTGCAGGACTGCTCTGACCTGCCAGCTGCAATTTACAGTCCTGTGTCTAGTTGTGGGCACCTCAATTCAGGAAGGACACTGAGGTGCTGGAGCAAGTCCAGAGAAAGGCAACGGATCCGATGAGGGTCTGGAGCACAAATCCTATGAGGACCAGTTGAGGAAGCTGGGGGTGTTTAACCTGGAGAAGAGGAGGCTCAGTGGTGACCTTATCACTCTCTACAACTGCCTGAAAGGAGGGTGTAGCCAGGTGGGGGTCGGCCTCCCAGACAACAAGCGACAGGCTGAGAGAACACAGTATTATGTTGCGCCAGAGAGGGTTTAGGTTGGACATCAGGAGGAATTTCTTCACAGAAAGGGTGATCAGAAATTGGAGGTGCCCAGGGAGGTGGTGGAGTCACCGTCCCTGGAGGTGTTAAAGGAATGAATGGACATGGCACTCGGTGCCCCGGCTGACAGGGTGGTGTTCGGTCACAGGTTGGGCTAGATGATCCCTGAGGTCTTTTCCAACCTAATTGATTCTGTGATTCTAAAACACCACCAGCCACTGCTGCAGCTCGGGGGCCGTCTCGTACGATGACGGTGTGTTAATCCCTTGCTGTGACCCCCGATACACCCACAGCCGACTCGGGGGCCGCCCCGCCGAGCGCGGCGTCCCGGCTCGCCCAAGGTCACGCGAGGGGCCGGGTGCGCTCGGTGCACGGCGGGGCGGCCGATCCCTCCCGGCTGAGCCGCCGCCCGGTGCCGCAGCCCCTGCCCGGGGTGTGTTACCTGCGGGTTGTAGGCGGCGGCCGCCGTGGCCCCGACGAGCCGCTGCGCGAAGCCGCTGAACTTGTAGTACATGGCGGGCGGGGGGGCGCCGGTGCGACCGCGCCGGGAAAGGACCCCCCGCCACAGCCGGCTGCTCTGAGACGTCGCACCGTTCAAGGGCCCCTCCGGCTCGCGGACAACCGGTACAGCCGCCTGCGCGGGAAACCGCCGAAGGAATAAGGTAAAAAACAAACAAAAAAAAGAAATCCAGAAAAATACAGGAGCCTGTACCAAGGCAGCGGGAGCGCTTGTCTTCCAAGCACGCCCGGCGCTCGCGAAGAAACTGAGCCTGGCGACAATTTTGAATCAGGCAAAAAACCCGACCCCCCAAGCAAGCCGGGGAGGAGCGCTAAGGGCGGTGGGAGCGGGTGTGTCTTACGTCGGCCAATCAGCGCGGGCGGGAGGTGAGGCCCCGCCCTCTGGCGGGTGCGGTGGGGGCGCCCCGGGGCAGGGGGCGGGGCCGCGGGAGCGCGCGGGTCACGCGGGCTCGTGCGCGGGGCGGCGGCGGCGCCTCAGGTTCCGATCCGCGCGCGCTGCGCGTGAGGGAGCGGGTGGGTCTGTGTTCGGGTCCGCTCTGAACAGGGGGGGGCCGCTCAGTCGGGTGCGTTACCCCGTGTGCAACAGGCCAAGAGTCGCGGAATCAAACAGGGTGGAAAAGACCAGTGAGGTCATCGAGTCCAACCTGTGTCCGAACACCACCTAGTCAACGAGACCGTGGCACCGAATGCCACTTCCAGTCTTTCCTTAAACACCTCCAGGAACGGTGACTGCACCACCTCCCTCGGCAGCCCATGCCAATGTCTAATCACCTCTCTGTGAGGAAATTCTTCCTAATGTCCAACCTAAACCTTCTTGAGGCTGGCACGTCTTGAGGCCATTTCGTCTCATCCTGTCACTTGTTGCCTGGGAGAAGGGGCCAACCCCCACCTGGCTACAGCCTCCTTACGGGGAGTTGCAGAGAGTGATGAGATCTCCCCTGAGGCTCCTTTTCTGCAGGTTAAACACCCCCAGCTCCCTCAGCTGCTCCTCATAAGACTTGTGCTCCAGACCCTTCCCCAGCTTTGTTTCTCTTCTCTGGATGTGCTCCAGCACCTCAATGTCCTTCCTGAAGTGAGGGGCCCAGAACTGAACACAAGACTCAAGGGTGGCCTCACCAGTGCCGTGTACAGGGGAGGTATCACTTCCCTAGTCCTTCTGGCCATACTCCTACTGATACATTGATTATTTATTTCAGAGCTGTGCAAGCCTGGGTGCTTGGTGGTGTTGTACAAATCAAGCACACCCACTACCAGAGCTTTTTACTATTTATATGTTTTAGCAAACAAAGGCATTTACTGGCTACAAGTTACATAATTTTCTTATTAATTCTATTGGTTAATTATTCTCTCTCTTCTCATGCTAATTAGTCTGCATTCTCATTCTTTCTCTTGAGTCGGTGGGTTTCTCGAGTCAGTGATCTGCAAGTCGGTAGTTCTGGTCATGCTCTCCCCCTGCAAGAATTGCCTTTCACCCAGTCGGAGCTGATTCAGCACAGTTGCTAAGTTGTCTTTATTGGTTTCTTACTTATCTTGGGAGTTCTGCAAAATATCCTTGTGGCCCATAAATTCTACATTCTTTGTGTCCACTCTCAATGGTACATCCTTCTTCCTAAGCTTTGTTAACCTCCCCCTAGATCTGAGATCACTGGAGCATGTCAAACCCTAAACCTTAAGAAGGCAATTCTTCCAACAAGTAATTTCTCTAACACCGCCGTCACTTAGAGCTTGCTTGTTAGCTTCTGTTTCATGGATTAAATCTCCTTTCTTGTTGATGGGACCTGAAAGTACTCGATGATCAAACATCAAATGACGTCCTTTCCTAAGAAAATGTTATGTATTCCACATTTTGCAAAAGGGAGAGCAGCGGTTTTGTTTTCTAGGACTTAATCTCTGAATCTCCACTCTAACAAGTGATTCGGATGTCTCTAGCAAGTGATTCCCTTCTATTCTGCCATCTTTTGAAAACATCTGAAATGTATAATTCATTGGGTAAAAGAAGACTTTTGTTAAATGAAGTCAGTACCACTAACCAAGGGAATGTAATATGATGCTGCTTCTGAGTTTAACATTCATGAGAAATCAGCAGCTCCCCGGCTGCGGTGGGACACGGCAGGACTTTTACCATCCTTACAGCTCACAGGCCTGTGGCATTCCATGGTCACTCTGTGCCAGCTGGGATTTTGTCAGTGACCCAGAACATCCTGCTATTATCAGTCTAACAGTGCGAATTCATAATTGGAGTTCACACTGTGAGTTGCCTGCTGTTGGATAAGATTAAACATACTGAGGCCTTACTAAAAAGTATTATTTGTTGGTAATTTTTTTAATTATTAGTGACCCACACCGGTTAGTTCATTGCCTGTTAAGAGCCTCACAATTTGGCAGATATGCTTGCTATAAAAATATCTGTGGTCGTGCACTGAATGAAAATTATTAGAACGTACTTTGCTTATAGGCTGGGGGAAGATGTACTCATAGCAGATATTTTAGAAAGTAAAATACTCATATAAAAATGTGTGTGATATGATTTCTTTACCCACCTATGTAACGCCTTCTGTTTAGATTTTAGAATTTGAGTTTGGTGGTGGCAAAATGGAGCCTTGAGTTGTCTTGGGTTCATCCCCTTGTGAACAGACATGTCCTACACAGGATAACCACTGCTCAGTAACGAGGAAAGCCCTTGGGAGCCCTGTACATCCATTTACTTTTGAGAGCAGGGCTATGAACCAGAAGTGTAGATCCTTGCTGCACTACTTTTTACCTATGCCTGTTGCCCTGAAAGCAAGTTTTCTTCTTGGTGAAATTTTAATCCCTCAAACTCTGTCTGTGCTGTCCTCTCACAGAGACAACCAGCTGGATGCTCCATACGTGATACCCTGAGTCAATGTTCTGACTCTGTGTTAGGAACATTAACTGGAGACGATGTGTTATTTGCTCAGCAAGTAGGAAATTTATGGAAATATTTTGTAAATGTTACAGGAAGAATTGTGAAATCCCTGTAGCTTTCAAGAGTAGGCAGTATTAATGAACTGGAAGATGTGCTGCATAATTTAGGGTGGAAAAGAATTTATTCCCGAGAAAAATAAACTAAAAGTTATGTTTGGTTACAAGTCTGCCTGTAATGGAGCAGAAGACCCTGAAGATGAGGTATACATATTCCTTTAGAGTGTAATGCTGTGCATCATGGCTAGGTTTGTTTGGTAACAGTCCTGACCTATTGAAATCCATGGGATCTAGCTCATATTATAATGTTTCTGGAACCTTTCCTGGGCATATTTGTCTGCAGCTGCACTATAGCTCCTCCTGTTCAGGTCTTCTAGCATTTGCCAGAAAAAATAGGTGTGCCTGGTAAGTTCACTAAGGTTGTGTTATATTTTGTTTTTCTGCCCTTTTCTCCCCCAGTATTAACACATGCTACAGTACCAGAGGAGCAGAGGTCTTGTGGCAGGTCCTGCATTGAGATGACACCATTGTATAACTAGTTCTTGCTTCATTGTTTTATTGAATCAAGTTCTTGAAAAGTCATTCAGTATTGACTGAAAGCCACAGAAAGAAAAGGTTCATGCCCTGGAGCTCTGAGGAAGCTGTGAAAAATGTACAAATTTATCCTCTTTTTCAGTTAATCAATTTAAGTCTTGATGCTTAAAAGTAAGCTGTGAAACTTTGCTGCTTCAAGCTGTTGGAACAAAACCTAGGTGTGATCTCCCTCTTGTTTTAGCTCACAAAATTGAAGATGGGGAGTTGTTTACCTTGCAAGAGAGCTGCATGGGAGGATGACATGAATAAAATTACAGTTACAAGTGGAACTTCTGCTGTTGTTCGTGTACCACAGGAGCATGGGAACATTCCATGAAAAAAATAGCATGAAGTCTTTCCTTTAAAGGAAGAAACTTGGTTTTGTCTTGGACCTTTGGTTCATCTTTTGCTTTAGTCTCTAGACTTTTGCCAAGACTGCTTTGCTTATCAGACTTGCTGACATAAGGGGTAATTAGACTGTAAAACTTGCTGCCGTAGGAAGTAACTGGGGCATAATAAGGCCACTCACCCTAGCAGGGTTCAAACAAAGATTAGGCAACTTTGAAGACCATAAAACTATGTACAGTTAATAGAAGCAAAGTGTCCTGGAAGGAAAAACCTTCCTCCTCTGGATTTTAAGGTGAGCTCTGACTTTGAGACGAACAATTCATGGCGACTGGCATTTTGACATCTGGTCTGTTAGAGATTTTATGCCTTCAACTGCAGTGTGGTATTTGCAGCAGCTAAAGACAATAGGATCCTGTAGTTTATTCAATTTTTTACAGATTTTTAAGATCACTGGTTTTATACATGCAAGTTTTCTTATCATGGCTTGTTCTTGGAATAGCAGTAAGATTATGTTTCAAAATGAGTAGATTTCTGGGAGTGAATGAAAGAAGCAGAGTATCTTGAGCTCATTCTGCTTTTTTGTTGTTGTTGTTGATGCTGTGTACTTATTTTCTTTCTGAGGATAAAGAACAAGACCTTATCGGTTGCTTAATGAACAAAACCTTCATATGCTGATCATTATTTCAGCACAGATGTCTGTAACTCAAATTCTGTCAATCTACCCATGCAACTCTGTTCTTGAATTGCTAAGAACAACTGTGTGGGTGGATTTAGAACATAAAATTGCCATGTGCACTTATGTTTTGTTTATGCAGTACTCATTTTTAAGAGTACTAGATTGGATTTGCTTAATGTTTGCTTTTTGTTGTGTATACGTAGGATATACAAACCCCCAAACTAGAAGATGATCATCAAGCATAAACTATTAATGCAAGAGACTGATATTGTAAACATGTTCCATTTGAATTATCAACCGAAAGAAATAGATTCAGTCTATACACAAACTAAGGTGTTAGTTACTTGTAAAACCTGTACCTGAATTTATTGGTGCTTTTTTGCCCATACATACTGAATGCAGCAGAGATAACTCTTGGAAATAGGCTTCTATTGTCAACTAAGAGATTTCTCTTTCATAGTCCTAACAATACTGAAAATTAATAAAAATTGTAGTTTTTTAATTTTAAAATTGTCATAGACTTACACTATTAATATACATTTAACCAAAGGCTTTACTGTGTATCTTTCTTGTAAGACTATTCTTGGGTTTTTTTTGAGGGAGATGGTGTTAAGGAGGCAGCCGTTTATATCTTCTCTATGAATTTAGAAATAATTCCTATTTCACTCCTGTTTCCTGGGCACTTCTTTGTCTTGAGATAAGGCTTCTACATGTGAAATACTTGATAG